CCCAAAAAATGCTCCTCTGACTGTAGGGTTCCTACTGCTGCCCTTAAAAGCAACTCTTAAATGATGATAATAATGTTGGCAAGACCTTTGAACTAGAAACAGGAGAGTTCTGTACCTTTCTCTGTAAAGATGGCAACCTCAACTAGGGCATGGTCCAACGGAAAGGGATTTGGACTCAGAAGACATATGTTTGAATCCTGACTTTGCCACTCCCTACCTATGGGATTTTGTACAAGTCCTGTTTGTAAAAACTTCTCTGGGCCTCCATTTCCTTATCTGTAAAAATAGTGGGTTGGACTGGGTGGCCATGGAGGTCTCTTCGAGCCCTGAATCTATGCTTTTGAATATTTTTTTGTAGTGGGAATTGCCTGAATGGATTCTTAGAATGTAAGCACCTCTCTAGTGGAGATTGTTCCATTCTTTAAATTTGTATCTCCAGCACTCAACATTCTATGTGCCTGGCTCATAGTAGGCACTTGTTGATTGAATCCATACTTTTTTTGTCTCCCTCATTCCTTTTGATCATAGGCCTACATTAGCAAGACATTTGTCTAGGTTTTGATATAGAGTCTTTTGCTAGGGAATGTGATGAAGCTATAAAATGATCTCATCTATGAAAGGGCAACATTAAAATGTCATAACCCACTGAGCTAATCTATCCAGGTCTGTAGCACAAAGAGTATCCAGAGAAATATATTTACTTCCATCTTAGCAGCTCTGGAGGGCTAGATTATAATGTACCCATCCTTTTAATTTTAATTTTGTATGATTATTGTTCATGTCCTTTCACATGAATGTTTACCTAGAATGCTGGGGACTTCCCCAAATACTTCTGAAATTACATAGATACCAGTGGAGTATGGTATGGAATTAAAGCCTCAGAAGAGATGAAGGAAATTGATAGAATGAAAATTTTGCCACACAGCAAAGCTCAAATTTCCTCAAATGAGAGGATGCTCTTGTAGGATTGGGGTAGATGGGGCAAGGAATGAGTGATATCTCAGCAGGGAGGGTGTCCACTGGCTTTGGAATCAGAGGGTCTGGGTTCAAATCCTATCTCTGACACTACCTGTGAGAACCTGAGCAAGTCTCTTACTTTTCCCTGGTCTTCAGTTTCCTCATCTGGAAAATGAGAGGTCCTCTGAGGTCCTTTCTAGCCCTAAATCTATGATCCTATGAACCATGCTTGAAGTTTGGCATTCTGCCTTCGTGGTCACACTTGGCCAACTCAACAATGCCCCACCTTCCACAGAGCAGCAACAAAGGTAGCACAAGGTAAGTTGAGGAATAGGACTCAGACCAAATAGGACTCCAAGATTTCTGGTGTGTGATGGCAAACTTGCCTTCAGTGCCCACATTCAGTAAAAGCACATCTCAAGCTTATCGTGGAAGGACCAGTGATTTGGACACGTGTAGGTTGTTTGGTAGGAGTTTTTGAGAAACCAGTTTTATAACAAGGGCAGCAATTACAAATGTTTAAACAACTTATAATAGACTTTGGGGTTAGATGTGTGACATTCTGGCAACCCATTCTCTTGCAGTGTATGCAGACAATATGTCTATTCTCTTATGGTCCTCTAGAAATTCCTACTTTACATCATCTCCCAACAGATTCCAGTGCCAATGTATGATCCTTAATTTTCATTTGTCACGCTGCTTCTTCCCCAAGCACCACTATGTATCTCTGCCTTTGACTGCTTTAGTATAATTGATTAACAGAAAACATTCTCTCTGGAAACTTCCAGTTGGTGATGAATTTCTGCAGTGCAAACATTTTTTTTTTCACTTGAATCTTGGCATATATTTTGTCTGGAGGTCACACATCTAATAAAGTCACCCCCTCTTTAAAATTTAAGGGACATTAGGTCACAGTGAGTTATCTTTCCATGTCAGTCTGGCCATATATGCCTAACAAAAGAGTTGATTAGCAGCAAAATTGTATTATGTGTAATGTGCTAGAAATTGACCTTGTAAATGAACTTTTTGAACAACCTTTGCATTATTGAAAGGACCAACAAACAATGGGAAAGTCACTTTCCTGTTCCACTCATATTCTGGTAATTTTTCAGTTATGTCTTCAGAATGCCTTGAATACATTAGAAACCCTTGAGGTGTATGTATTGTGTGTGTGTGTGTGTGTGTGTGTGTGCGCATGCGTGCATCTGGGGTGGAGGAGGTGTTAGGGCTTTGTACCTTTCTTAAGTAAGTTACCCTCTCTGAGCCTCTGTTTTCTCATCTATAAAATGAAAGAATTAAAAGAGATGTTGTTTCCCTTTAGTAAAATGTAAGTACCCTGAGGTCAGGGGTCTTCTGTTTTTGCCTTTACAATACCCAGAAGAGTTCTTGGCATATAGTACATGATTAATAAATGCTTGTGGAATTGATGCTTCCAGATCTAAAATTTTTATAATGATGATACATGATTGGAAAATGTTGTGGGGTGAACTATAACGTGCAGATCAAAGCATACTTTTTTCACTTTATTTTTTCTTCATTTTTGTTGCAACATAGATAAAATGATTGTTTTGCATGACTTCACATGTATAAGGGGTATCATATTGCTTGCCTTCTCAATGGATGAGGGAGGTACTAGAGGAATAGAGAATTTGAAACCCAAATTTATTTCAAAAGAATATTAAAAATAAATACATTTAAAAACAATAGAAAAATGTTGTGGGATTTCAGGGTTGTGGAAGGGAGGGCTGGTAATATATTTTCTTCCTTTCATTTACTGTTAGGATCATAGCTTCTGAATCGGAAGGGATCTCCAAGGTGATCTAGTCTAATGCATGTCTGAATAGAAATCCCCTCCACAATTCAACTCAAATCTTTAGTAAGCACCTATTATGTGCCAGGCACTGGGCTAAGCACTAGGATACAAGTAAGAAAAGAAAAGACAGTCTTCGCCTTCAAGGAGTTTACAGTCTAATGGGGGAAGATAACACAAAAAAAGAGGCAGGAAAGTAGTGGCGGGGACATTAAAGTGTACCCAGCATGGGGGGCATCTTTTTCCATGGAGTTGAAACCAGATAGAGCAGCAGATGCAACATCCCAAGCAAGTAACTAAAGGGCCTGTGCATGAACACTGCAATTTACAAAAACAGCATAATGCAAAGGAAAGAGGACTAGATCTAGTGCCAGAGGACCTAGATTCAAATCTTACCTCTGACACCACCTATGTGATCTTGAGCAAGTCATTTCATTTCTCTGTTCTCAGTTTCCTCATCTGTAAAATGAGGGGTTAGACTAAACAGACCTTCTAAGGTCCCTTTTAGTTCTAGATGCATGATCCTCTAACAGAACACTCAGCATCTCTCATTCTATCTTTAGACAGCTACAATTTTTTCGAAGCTTTTCCTTTCTGTAACTTTGATCCATTCAATCTCATTAAATTAAATTTAGCAAACATTTAGTAAGTGGCTGCCATTTGCAGGATTGATTACTGGAAGAGATACAAACTTTAGATAAAGACAAAGGTAAGGATTTTATAGATAGATAGATGATAGATAGATAGATCTGAAAGGGGGCTTAGAGATCACCTAGTCTGACTCCTCATTTTATAGGTGAGGAAACTGAGGCAGAGAGATAAAGTGACTTATTTGTATGCCATATAGATAGTAAGTGTCAGAGCCATAGATCAATGGACATGCATTTATTAATTACCTACTATTTGCCATTCTCAGCCTTATTTCTTACCTAGCCTTAATCGCTGTACTGAGACCTGTTAATGACCTTAGCCTAAAAAGGCCAAGGTCTCCCATTGCATCCAGGGCCATCTCCAGTCCTCCTGCTCTATATTGTGCCACTTGACCCAGATGGCTCTGGAGGAGAAAGTGAGACTGGTGACTTTGCTCCCTCACTTAAATCCAATTCACTTTCCCAACATGGCATAACCTCCCTGATATCATGGTCCTCTTCAAGAACAAAGGCCAAACAACAACAACAATAACAACTATTTGCCAGGCAGTCTCTGAGGTACTGGGGATACCAATACCAATGCCTTTTGGAAGCAAGAAAAAGAATCAATTGTCAAATTTTGTACAACTTTGACTATCTTCTCCTTTTCACATGCCTGGCTCTTGCTTATACATAAGTGTATGTGGGTATATCTATCTTGACGCTCTTCCTTTTCCTTTAAAAACCAGTTATAACTTTTGTTTTTACATTGTCTTCATTTCCAACTATATGAAGATGGATCCTTTCATCTCTGCTGACATTTAGCCTCCTGTTTGCTTTTCCAATCAGGCACATGGCCCACAAAGTATGTGTGTGGGTGCTCACTTCCTTCCCACACACAGGTCAATTTGAGGGTGTTCTGTAGCTGACGGCGTTTTTGGCATTTCTTTTATGTCCAGTGGAAACCATGGTGATTAGATTTGTATGGGAAAAGGAATACATGGCTCATGAAAACTGTATTCCTTTGTAGTAAGTGTAAAATGAAGCTGGATTAGTGTTTCCTGTGACACTTCTTTACAAACCAGGGAAGGAGTTTAGCAACTTGGAAAGATGTGTGTCCTGGGTAGTATGACTTTACGTTTGGGGGAAATCATATGAATGTCTTGATGAAAATCCAACCCTGCTAATGGAGAACTAACTCAACATGCATCTCCTGTCAATGACAGGTTAGAAGGATCTTCATAGCCGTCCAAAATCAGAGCACTCTTCCTGTGGGTATGCTTGTAATTACTTAAAACATCTGAGTGCTTTCCTCATGTTTACTCACATTTCAAAGGCTACAATCCAGCTGTGGGGATTCCCAGCTCAGGGATCATTTCTCTTATTTCTCCTGACATTTTGGGTATCATAGTCAGCTATTTTTCTCCCTGTTGTAGGTGGTGCTAAATAAATATTATGAGATATTGAGTTCTAAAGCACAGGTTAGGATTGTAGGCTGTTTACTTCCACAGCAGGACTTTGAGGCTGGGCAAGGGTAAAACACCATGATTACTTAGTCATCCAGTGTTGTCAGGTTTCTAAAAATCTGTTTGTTTTTTTCCAAGGCAAAGGAAGCTCCCCAAGAGGCCCAGATGGTGTTCACAGCCCGTCATGCCACACTTGCCTCTCAAACACATGGTGAAACATGGAGGGAGCAGAAAGAGAAGAGGGCAGCCCTGATGGTGGGAATTTTAATCGGTGTGTTCGTCCTCTGTTGGATCCCCTTCTTCCTCACAGAGCTCATCACCCCACTCTGTTCCTGCAACATTCCCCCTATATGGAAAAGCATATTCCTGTGGCTTGGCTACTCCAATTCTTTCTTCAACCCCTTGATTTACACAGCATTCAACAAAAACTATAATAGTGCCTTCAAAAGCCTTTTTATCAAACAGAGATAAAAATATAAAACTGGGGGAGAGGGGAGGAAATGGTGGATTTCTGTGAGAGTCTATTCCTACCTCCCACCTTTCCAGTAAGTGAATGAAGGTTGTCTCCTCTTTTTCCCTTCTCTCCCCCCTCTCTCCCTAGGGTGGAGACAATGAAGTGGAAAGAGCACTGAACCAGGCAGGAATCAGAAGAATTGGATTGGAATCCTGGTTCACTTGCAAATTTGCTATGACCTTGGGCAAATCACTTCATCTCTCCCTGAGCCTCAGTTTCCTCATCTGTAAATGAAGGGGTCAGACTAGTTGGTCTCTGTGGTCTATTCCAGTTCAGACATTCTGAGATCTGTGCAATTACGATGCTGCTGCTAAAACCAAACCATTAGCCTTAGGCTGGTGGGAGTAGCTGGAGAGAAGACCTGTCAAACATGGTGTCTCAAACTTAAGCATTTGGGACTCATCAGATGAAAGAGAAATGAGGTATGGGAAAGCGAGAGCTCCAAGTAGCTGGTTTATACCAGGATCCAAGAACTGTGTACTAAGTGAGTGTGGTGAATCAGCATCATTTACCTTGCTCTCTGTTCTCTTTATCTCTCTCTCTCCCCTAGCCTGGAAGCTCTCCTGTAATACCCAAAGGATTTCACAGTGTCACTCTCTAGTAGAGGAGAATTGTGGGATATTGTACTGAGTCATAGGAGAAAAATGTTTGCTTACTTTCCTATTCTGCAAAAAAGGAGAGAAAAAATAGACTGAGGGGATTAGACTAACAGCTCACTTGCACTGCTGTATCTGTGATCCTGTTATCATTCTTCATTATAACTGCACTGGTGGCTAACAGGTATGGCCAGACCAAGGACTGCCAAGAATTTCTGAGGTTTGATGCATTTGGAATTAATATCTACTTAGATGACTGTGGGGTGAGCTAAATGCCTAATTTTTTCCCAGATTTAGACCCTACCCCAGTGACAGCATCAGTCTCCAAGAAACAAATCTTGATCAAGGGCACAGACAAAATGATTGGACAAACACTGGAAACTACTGAATTTATTTGTTTGGTATGGAGAAGAGGAAACTACCGACTTTATTATCTTCAATTATAGTCTTAAATTTTCAATTTAAACCCCTTAAAACCCTCTAGCCTTTGAGGTAGAAGGGACAATTTTCTTTGGGGGTTAGATAGAGCGTGGTCCTTGGGTGTTGTCAGACAAGTGGGAATGATTATCTTGGCTGAAGTGGAACAACGGTGTCAAACTCAAGTAGAAATGGGGACTGTTAACCATACATAAGAATTTCTGTGGGCTGTACATTGACTTAGAAAACCACATATTAATATTATCTATATCCTATTGTATTTTTATTTTGTTAAATATTTTCCAATTACATTTTATTATACCCAAGAGAGTGTTGCAGCTCAAGTGCTTGACTCTTCAGTTGTAGGGGGATTCTTGTCCTCTCTTTGGACCTCCATGTGTCTCTCTCTAAGCTTCTATGCCCAACTAGAGAATGATGATCCACAGTAATGATGTAATGCTCCAAAGTGTAGATTCTCCAGAAACTCTTTTATGAATGCATTTTAGAGGTTTTGTTAATAGAATTGAGGGTAGGGGCAGCTAAGTGGTGCAGTGGATAGAGCTCCCACCTTGGAATTAAGAGGACCTGAGCTCAAATATGACCTCAGACACTTGACTAGCTGTGTGACCCTGAGCAAGTCACTTAACTCCGATTGCCTCACCCCCAAAAAAATTATAATTGAGGGTAAATACATAATGGGATGGGGAAGGGGATAAAATGTTTGATATCAAGATACAGAAAGGCAACAGGAAAACCTCAGTTTCCTGATCAGCCTCAGCCCTAAAACCAAACCAAACCACATACACATAGTTAGCGATGAAGGATTTTAAACCTGACTCATAATTATGCTCTTTTCTATGATTTGTAAATTTACCAACCCTGCAATAAGCCCTATTTCATGAGGTGCCCAGTGTGCCTACTTGGATTAGCCAGGCCTTATCCAACCTGTTGTAACTTGAAAGTGGAGGGAGAGGATATATCAGGCTGTGTACCTGGGAGGGCAACTTACTGTGTTTCTCTACTCAGAAGGAGGATGAGGATAATCATACCCTAAAGAAGAGTGGAGGCAGGAAAGAGAACTTACTGACTTCAAGGAAGCCAATCCTGTAATATATCTGCTAAATGTAATTAATCATAAACCAAGGACCTGGCAAGCTCTAATCAAAACTGGAAAGTTGGCCACCTCCACCTCCTTTTTTGATGACTTCTCTCCCAACTCCACCCTAGATACTCAGTGATAAAATGATTCATAATAAGGTATTAGAGACCTTCAACCTGTGCATTTTTAAAAGGGGTACAGAGGTGGAATAGAACCACTGGTAACTAATTGGTATAGCTGGACCAAGAATTGCTAAGCATTCCTGGTGTTCAATGCATCTGGAATTAACATCTACTTAGGTGACCATAGGATGAACTGAATGCCTGATATTTCTTCATATTTAAAGATGGAATACAACGCTTAACCAACCAAAAAGAACATGGTGAGATCTTAGGCACTGGGCAACCTGCATGGGGGAGATAATTGTGTGTATGTGTATGGGGAGATCTTAGAAACTCTTAAAACCATACCACATATGCTGGCACTATTATTCATCTATGAATATCTTCTTACTGCTTCTACATGTGGCTATTCAATATCTATTGAATGCAGAGGGCTAGGTGTAGGGGATACAGAAGTCTTGGTCCACATCCCCAAAAAGCTTATAGTCTCTTAGGAAGGAGAAGGTATAAACACTGGAAATAGTGATTTTAAAAACGGTTCAAGTCAATACAAGATGCATTAGCCTTAGAGACCCAACTGGCGTCTGCTGAGACCTTTTAGTGTGTATAAACTCCATCTTGTCCTGGAGTTGGTGAAAAGAAAAGTAGATGTCCTGGAGGATGAAAAGACCCACCTATGAGAGCTTGGGGTGTTCCTGCCATTAACAAACCATGTCAATTACAAAGCCTGGATTTTGGCTTCTTTTGGGATCCTAGCTCATCCTAGCTCCTGTCATGAAGTTAGGCACATATCCACACTAGAATGTTTTGGTGGCTTGCCCAACTTAGGGAATCCTGGGATCTAGGTGAAAATTCTAATCCTCCTTCATCTTTCCACCTCACCAACAGTCTCCAGCCCAGTTACACTTTGATGTTCTTGGTGACTCTTTCTGGGGTCTCAGTGGAAAATGACTGCATAGAACCCTGGACTACAATGACTCATTCCTGTTAGGAGTACAGTGGAAGGAGAGGATTCTGGGAAGAAGGCAGAGTAGGTCAGAAAATTCCAAGCTCTACAGATTCACAAAATAGACAAAAAAAAAAAGAAAAAATAGTGCCTCAGTGTGAATATAGAGCAGTAAAAATAAACGAGAGTTGGGGCAGAACAATAGTTTTCCCAAGGAGAATGGAAGATAAATCCCAGGACTGGGGTTTGATCCTTGTGAAGCGTATACACCTTCAGGCTAGTTCTGCTGAAACAGCAAATTGACAAGCCCCGGGGCTAGGGTTGGGAGGTAGCTTCTGCCCCAGCCACAGGAATTTTCACCTCTCCAGACAGTGTGGTGAGTCTGGTGTCTGAGCAGGGGAAGATTGAGAGAACCTCCATTGATCCTCAATAAGGGATGCTGGGCCCAGCTGTACTGCCTAAATACTGCCCTGGGTGAGAAGGAACCATCACATGCCTGGTGAGTACAGAAGCAGTGGGGCAGAGACACCTCTGGCTGTGGACACTTACAGGAGAGCAGTTCTTGGTTTCAGTTCCAGGCCAGTGAGAGAACTGAAGGAGGACCTGAGGCCATAGGAACCATTCCCCATACCCCAGCATTAGAGGTGATTACAAGTTGCTATTTTTTAAAAAATGAGCAGGTAAAGGTGAAAGAACCCAATCACAAAAAGTTACTATGGGAACAGAGAAGACTGGGGTTCATCTTCAGAGGATACTGAAGCAAAAAAAGCCTCTCCTAACCCAAAGAGCAACATCAAATGGTCACCTGCCCCCCCAAAAAAAAAGAATTCATAGAAGAACTTTAAAAAGATTTAAAAATCAAATGAGAGAGATTGAGGAAAAACTAAAATAAACTAAAATAAAACAAAAAAGAACAACCAAGAAAAATAAGAAAATTTTGAAAAGAAAGTTAACTAAAAAAGGAGATCCAGAATTTTAAGGAAGAAAATGTGTCCTTGAAAATTAGAACTAGACAAGGGGAAGCTAGCAAAGTTATGAGACCAAGAAATAATAAAACAAAATATAAAGAAAGAAAAAAAAATAGAATGTGAAACATCTCATAAGAAAAAGAACTGATCTGGAGAACAGACCAAGAAGAGAAAACATAAGAATAATTGGACTACCTGAAAGCTATGATCAGAAAAAAAAAGAATCTTAATACAATAATACAAGAAATAATTAAAAACATCCTAAAGTGTTAGAATAAGAGGGGAAAGTAGAAATAGAAAAATTACACCCAATCACCACCTCAAAGAGATCCTACGAGGAAAACCTACAGGAATATCATAGGTAAATTCTGAAACCTCCAGCTCAAGGAGAAAATATTATGAGAAACAAGAAAAAAGCAATTCAAATATGATGAAGCCACAATGAGAATCACACAAGACCTAGCAATGGTTACACTAAAGGACCACAAGTCTTGGAAAACTATATATTGAAGAGCAAAAGAATTGGGGTTGCAGCTAAAAATATCATACCCAGCAAATTCAAGCATAATCCTGAATGAAAAAAAAATGGATATTCAATGAATTGCCAGACTTTCAGGATTTTATTGCAAAAAGACCTGAACTTAATAGAAAAATTGACATACAAGATCCAAGAGAAATATAAGGTGAATGGAAGACTAATTACAAGGGACTCAATAAGGACATACTGTTTACTTTTTATACAAGGAAATGTAAACTATATCTCTAAGATTAGAATTAGTAATTGGGTAGGTTGAAAGAAAGATTGGGGTAGAACTAAGTATCATGTGATTCTAAAAAGTAATACCATCTAGGAAAAGGTAAAAAGAGTAATTATCTTATACAAATGAGGTGCTGCAAGAGGAAGAATTGACAGAGAAGAATTAGACAGGGGAGAAGGGCTGATAGTTCTGGAGCCCTACCCTCATTGGGAATGGGTTAAAGAGGGAACAATACATATATATATACATATATATATATATACATATATATATGTATATATATCTAGAAGGGTATAAAAGTCTTCTAAATTCAGAAAGAAATAAAAGGCTAAGGGGATGGGGAGGGGAGAGTTTTAGAGGGAATCCTACTTAGATCTGGGTTAAAGATACAACATTACATTTAGAAGGGAACAAAAGTCTTCTAAATTTTTAAGAAATAAGAGGGTGAGGGAATAGCATAAAGGGGGCAATGGGATAAAGAAGGAACAACATATATATTTGGAAAACTATAAAAGTCTTCTAAATTCAGATAGAAATAAGAGGGCAAGGGGAAAGGGTGGTGGGGAGAAGATAAGAGATCTTTGGTGAGGAAGTAGGTCAAAAGGGCAAGGTAGCAGGTAGTAGTAAAGTAGAGGAGTCAGGAGGGATAGTAAATAAGAGATATACACAAACAAAATAAAGATTAGGAATAGAATTTATTAGGGAAAAAAGAATCATAATCTCAGACAAAGTTAAAGCTAAAATAGATTTAATCAAAAGAGAAAAATAGGGAAACTACACTATATGTCAGCCATATTAATCATATTGTTTTAGACTATTTAAAATAACTAGACAGGGGCAGCTAGGTGGCCCAGTGGATAGCACACTGGCCCTGAAGTCAGGAGGACCTGAATTCAAATCTGGACTCAGATACTTGACACTTACTAGCTGTGTGACCCTGGGCAAGTCACTTAACCCCATTGCCTAGCGAAAAACAAAAAGATAAGTAGACAATATAAGGTTGGAATATTGCTGTGGTGTAGGAAATTATGAGTTGGTGGATTTAGAAAAATATGGAAAGACTTGGACTTATGAAGGAAGGTGTTAACCACCTTCAGAGAAATAGAGCACAAATAAGTATGGTATGGTCTTATATGAATGCATATGTATACATATGTATATGATTATAGATATCTATATTGTGTAAATATATATGTTAATATGTATATATGTACATATATGTGTGTATTATATATGTGTATATATGCATATGCGTATGTGTATATGTGCTTAACTGTAGCCTTCTTGGGAGAGGGTAGGGGAGGAAGGGGGAAAAAAAAGAACAAAATAAAAAGTGCACAGCAGAGAACAAAACAAAATCTACTAGGAAGTAAAGAAAAAAGGGACAGGTCTGAACACAATGTGCAGTATTTACTATATAGGCTTTCTTGAAATGGAAATTTATCACTTTATATTTTGAATCTTCTTTTATGTTCTGCTGTGCACATGGAATTTTTTTTCTTTTCTTATTTTGTATTTAAGTTTAAAATAAAAAAATTGTCAAAAAAAAGAGAAAAAAAAGGAATACAGTGGAAGCACCTCAGACACAGGTGAATCTCTATTTTAAGTTGAATAATTT